CATCTTTCTACAGCAGGGATGATAAAGCCACGTAACTCAACCCACAATGAATCCATGTGAGTTTAAGTGAAAACTCCAAGTTCAGCTCCGTGAACTCCATCAGGTGGAGGAAAAACCGAACCCCCACCAGCATTTTCCAGCCCGAGGACACGTTCGTGACGACAGGAGCCCGTCGGTCTGGAGGTGAGCTGAATGGCAGCTCTGTGTTCTTGAGCAGGAAGGAGAGGCAGGCCGGAATCTCGGGCCCAATTCGGCGCCGCACAAAGACCGGCTCAGTTCTGCTGCGAGCGGCCGTCACACGGAGGAAAAACACATGAATATCCTGTGAGCTGAAGTAGTTCAGGGCGCAGGAAGGACACCCGGTGCATCGGCTGCGAGGTTGGTTTAGAAGATAAAAATCGGTCAACGGTCAACTGGACTGGCACCACCAGTAGATTCAACGCTCAAAGTTTTTCCATTGTCACCACAACCGACTTCGACTCTACTCGGGTTTATACGGTCTTTATCAACAGAACTTGAGTGGTGGTGTTAGTAAAGGCGCCCAAAACTTCAAGGACGCAAACATAAACAGCAACAGGCAAATATGTCAAATAAAGTTACTGGTACATATCACCGTCATCTGCCAGTTTGCAAAAATGCTGTGGTTCAAGTGGAGGCCACCTCGCCTCTTCCCATAAATAGAGCCCATTTGGTCTCCGTGTGAATTCCATCATGCCCGTCTGGACCTCCACATAGTGCCGCGCTGTTGGTTTACGTGTTGCCACTTTCATGTATAAATTATACAATTATGAAACAAGACACATTTAATACCATCAACTAAGTATTATACAGCAACACAACAATCTATAGCAATGGCCCATTGTATGTCATTTGACCTTGATTTGTGACCTTGAAATGGGTCAGGGTGATAAGTTTTTGTGACATGCCGTCTAGTGGTGACACAAATGTGTATGAAGTTGTTTACGTTATCTGAAGCGGATCAGAAGTTATGGTCCCAACAAGCAAAGGCCTTGTTTAAATGTTGACCTTGATTTGTGACCTTGACCTTGGGGCTGGAGTTATGAAACATGTACACAATGACCTGCAGTTACGTCAAACCTTCAGCTCGGCTCAGTTGAAACCTCGGCCGAGGGGGTCCTAAGAACCCAACTGGAAGCGGGTGGGGTTCCCCATTAGAAACGCTCGACCACGTGGAAAAAAAAAACATCCCACAAACTACGGAGTGGGAATTTTTACCTCACCGCTCAAATGTTCAGAGGGCTGTGATGAAATTAATAGCAATTATCGCTGCTTTAGATCATCAGGTTTGTAAATAAATACCTGAGAGAAGATGATACGTTTCTAATGTTCTTCCAAAACACTTTGCAACTAAAGAGCCGAAAAAAAATAGACTAAAAAAAATTTATTACACCATAAACACTAATTTATGTATGTTCATGTCCTTTGGAAACATCTATGTCTTCTTGTAAAACATTGAGTTTTATTAAAACCCTGACCGGTGAGGTAAAGTTTTTATTCAAATTAATCTAATAATCCTCGGAGAAACTATCATAGTTTGTGTGTTTGTTAGTTTCACCACTAAACTACCGGAGCCTCAAATGAAAAGTGGATGAAAACAAACGAGATTGAAATGAAATTGAAAAAAAATTAAAAAGAAGAAACTGCAGTAAAATCAGAAAGTTTCCAGCAGAAACACTCAGACGTCCTGTTGAATCCATTTCCTGCTCAATAAAAACCCTCAGACCCATTAATCAGTTCACACGCCGGTTTATTTCTGACAGATTAAATCGGACAGAATCAAAAGCTGAACATGCTTTGAAAACATATTAAATGAATTTGATGCAGGAGTTTTGAACGTGCGAAGAAACCTCAACAGACTTGCTGAAAGTCTGAAAGCTGCACCGGAAATTATTACCGGAGAGTCCGGATCAGTGGAGGGAAAATATAAAACTTGAGAGTTTTATTTTATTTATTTTTTTCTAAAAATGCAGCATGAATTCTGAGTGCTGAGATTAGCTTGAAAAGCTCAAAATCGGGTTGTTAAATTTACAACAAGCTGAATAAAAGTAATTTAATCAAAACCACAGCAAAAAAATTCAAACAAAACAACAGCTCTAACTAAAATGAACAAGACCATAGCTAAATGCTAAAAAAGGCAAAATAGAATAATAGAGTTAAAACTAGAAAAAACAGTAGCTAAAATTTAAATAATCTAAAGCTCTAAGTTAAAAATAGCTAGAAAAAAATGCAGTTTAGCTAAACTATAGTTCAAAACTAAGATTATCTAAAGTAAAGTATAGTTAAGTGCTAAAAAAAAGCTAATATAGTTAAAAGCTACAATAAGCTAAAGTATAGCTAAAAGCTCAGATAAGCTAAAGTACAGCTAAAAGCTCAGATAAGCTAAAGTACAGCTAAAAGCTCAGATAAGCTAAAGTAAGGTTAAAAGCTCAGATAGGCTAAAGTATAATTAAAAGCTCAGATAAGCTAAAGTATAGTTAAAAGCTCAGATAAGCT